CCCGTCATCCAGTAATTTCTGTCTGAAAAAATTTTTTTTGGGAAAAGAATATTTTAGACGAAATATTAAAAGTTCGTATCTGAGAACAAGTCCCTGAGAGTATTTGTTTACTTGCTGCACTTTTTTCTATTTTTTGGCTTTTCTTAAATGTACTTGATATTATTTTAAAGATGGTTTCATGCTATTATCTTCTAGAATGAGAGCGGGGGAGGAAGAAAAAGATTTAGCTTCTCGCTTACTGTAATTTTCAAAGCCCTGTATTCTTTATTTCGCTTTTTCCCCGTTCTGAATTTCTGAAGAACTTTTTTTTTCAATTCACGCATTCTTGCTATAATCTAAAAATACTTTTTGTGCGTAAAAGTAAATAGCAAGCAAAATTTCTGTGCAAAACCAACCGTAAGTTGAATTGTATACAAAACTATAAAGAGAAGTAAATAATTTCACAAGTGAAACTAGCATGCACATACGTTGAACGAACGATGAGTAGAGCCAAATAACGGGAAATTATCGTACGGTGTGTGGTAGTAAATCGAAGGAACCTTGTGCTAAGATACTAATAGAACCAGTAATTTTTCAAGGCGGTAGGCAGTCATTCAATAAATAAACCGAGGAACCACTGGGACGTAATGTACAAACACGATGATCGACTAGCCAAAACGATGTGCGCGGTCAGCGGATTCATCGTTGGATGAAAACACACGGACTTCGTGTCGTCGAATGGGTTCCCTTTCATGCAAAAAAAAAAACGTGAAAAGTCATCTTCAGTTTCATTTTCCGTAAAATAATTCAAAAACAGCTCTAAAAATGCTTCAAAAAAAAGTCAATTACGCCGTCAGGAATGAAACCTGCGAACGGGTAAATTTCTGCGGAATTCGGAGGTGTGGTTCTGGGATTTTTATTCAACGGATGCGACAATCCAATTGTCATCTTTACAGTGTTGAACTGAAAATGCATGGTCTGGAATCGAAGATTCAGGTAAAACTGAACCTGATATATGAAGGAGAACCAATCACTAACTCGGAATACCTATACAGATTGTCTTTATAATTCCGACAAAGCTGCAAATGTTGTGTGAGACGAAAGTAAGATACAGGAGACTATTCAGCATTTTTCTAGTTTATAATTCAAACCGTTTTATCGCCTCTCGTTTAAAATTTCTTCTAGTTTGGCAAAGCTGGTGACGCAAGTGGTTTTTCGTTGTAAATATTATATTTTGCTTCGCTGCATATGAACTGTACTGTATATTTATTAGCGCAGACAGCACTATTAATGCTATTCAGAGAGTAAATGTCAGGTAATAGTGAAGTAAATTGGACCTATTTAGAATACTACTGATAGTTGTAAAATCAACAGTTCAGCCCATCGTGTTCATAAGAAATCTTCCTCATACAGCACACAGTAGCGCTGACCGTACAATGCCTGTAGAGTTATGGTAAATAGAGTCCACTGAACTGTTCTAGGACTTCGGGGCTGTCTTATGACAAAAATTGTTTGTTTGTATAATTCCAAGTAGAAACAGTTTTATTAAAATCCTATTTCTCTATTTTAACACGTCTACACAAACTACTGGGATTCCGTAAATAACAAGGAATAAGATTTTGCGCTTCATGATCACCGATCAGTCGTTTTTTTCCAGTGATTCAACAGTGCTGGATTGTTCCGTGCTTGTAAGTATTCTTGGATAATATATGGCGTGTAGAGTGCTATCGCTCAAAAGAAGTTGGTAAAATAGTGCCTCTGATGGATCGTCGACCACGGCAACGCCTGCGTGATCTACATTCTGAAATTTTTATTATTCATCGGGAACAAAAGCAATGGACGGCGGTTCACAACACAGTTGAGAAACAAAAAAACTATCGCGTGGTGTCATACAGAACTGAAACAGTGTAGGTAGGATTTTTTAGGTTTGAAATTTCTTAGACATTCGTTTCGGCGGGAGATAGCGTTCTAGTTTTCGTTTTTTTGCAGCTTTTTTGCGAGTTCTCCGCGACATTTCAGTTCTCTTTCAGCAGAGCTTTTTGCGAAACTTCACGGGACAGATGGGAGACACTCCTGTGGTTTACAGTCGACTCGGTACTGTTTTTTTGTTGAAAGAGTGTATAAACAGTTTGCTGCTACTTTAAAGATGTCATCACAGTATGTAATCATTTCATTCCGGTGACACTGTGAATTTGTTAGTACTGTAAACACGCAGTAAACGTTTACTTATTTTAAAAATTAGTCGATGCAGTATATCATCAGCTCGGTGGCAAACGAAATTAGTAATGAAGTGCTAAAAGACTACATTAAATTCCAAAACTCATACATTCTGCTGAAAAAACTGTTTCTTAAAAAGGAGAAATGTGGTGCTCCACATCCAAAAAATGGCAGTTTTCTAATGGTTCGATATTTTATTTTCATTTTTGTTCTTCGAAAAATTTGTGTTCCTTACTCTTTTTCGGGTAATTTAGGTAAGGCCTTAAAGCAGCTGATCAGTTAGAGTACATTTCATGAATTCAGAATCTTTTAAGGAAAGGCCCGTAGGTAGCTTTATTTACGTGTGATTACTTTATGGAGCAATGCTAAAGCGGCGCAGTGGCGGCCCTAATTTGTATTGTGGACAAAGTGTTGCCACTGTGTGGACGGGTTTTGTCTTTTGTTCCTGAGAACCTCCTTTTTCTTTGCTGAATTTTAACTTTTTGTCTTTTTTTTTAATAAAAATGATT